CACCCTGTGCCGGGGCAGATCACGAGGCAGGGAGGCCTCCCGCTTCCCGGCGTCCCCTGCACTGCCATGCCTCTTTCTTGGGCTAGAAAGGGAAAAGGAGGAGCTTTGCGGTCTCTCGAGCCCTCGTCTGCACAGAGACCCCTTTTTCCAGCACTCTCTCCCTTGCAATCAGCTGCGATGAAAGGCGATATCGAGGGTGTGGTGTATGGCAGGCTCTACGAGTCGACGCAGGGTGGAATGTGGAATCTGGTCCTGCCCCGTGGGGTTTATTGTGCAAAGTGTAAAATGCCAATAAGAAAAAAACAGTAATATGAGAAGGGGACGTGGGAGTGCAGGATGAAGCTGTGGGAGGACAACCACCACCTTGTGCCCAGTGCATCGAGATATGGTGCAGAGGGATCTCCGAGGCCCGTGTCCCGGCTGATTTCTGGCATTAGATGGGGCATCAGGCGGGTCTTCTCCGTAGCTCACCCCATGCGCAGCGGCAGAGGTTGGGGGCCCCACAGCGCATGCTGCTGCTTGGGCTCACTCTGACACATCTCCCCTGCAGGAGCCCTGTGTCTCCTGCGGGGCTGCACGGTGACCCCTTCCTTGTGTGAGAAAGAGGAAAAAGGGCGTTTTTGCCTTGAAGGTCTCTTCTGCTTTCCCCTCTACCCTGCTACCGTCAGCACTGGGGCAGTCCAGTCCCTCTCTCTTCTTGCCTGTGACTCCCCTGCGTATCCATCCTCCTATCTATCCTTCTCCCACTTTCTCCTAACGCGTGTCGTGAACTGGAGCTGAATAGACTTCAAGCGTCAAAGAAGGATGGCTTTTACAAGATCAGTCTTGAAAGGCTTTAATTAAAATCTTAATTGCCCCAGACAGTACCTAAGTAAAAAGGAATACAATACTGATAAGACAAGCACTTAATCCATAAAGGCGTTAGTGCATGTGACATTGTTTATGCACTAAGACATTCAAAAGCGGTAGAAAATTACATTCATAAGCCAGTCTCTTAGGGGCTACATATTGCCTAACACGGACGCATTTCAGAAACCAGGCGTTTTCTGAAGACCTCGGAGCCTCTGCAACTGGGGAACTTGGCACTCAAAGGCAGAAGGAGTTTGCGGTTTCAGACATGACTTCTTTTATTCCTGTGTCATTAACATAAACAGCTCAGATCTGGCTGAGATAAGTGGCGATACCTACTTTATTATTAGCGATCAAGTTCATGGTTCAATCCAAAAAGTTCCCAGTTACTTGTCATGTTTTATCTCTTTCCTGCAATCGTGTTTCCTGTTAGCATCCTGCAGCCTGACCTAAGTCCAAATAGAGCCCGTGTCTCTGATATTTATGGAACTCAAAAATATTTTTCATTTATATTTCAAATTTACTATGCTACTAAACTTGACCAAAGGCTAAATGTTGCCGTCTCTGTGCCTACACGAGGGTGCTGTGAAGGATAGCCCCTGCTGGGGAATATCCCTGGTTGGGAAGAGGAAAGGGGAGAGGGTGTGCGGCAGCCGGGGAGCGATGCCTGCATGTAAACGGGGAAGTGATGCTGCTGGGAGCATACTGCTGAGAGCAAAGGGAAGCACGCTTCCCCAGGCACGGGCCAGGCGCTCTGCTTTTTGCTCCCCAGGGCACAGCCTGGGGCCAGCGAGGGCTTCTCTCTGCCCTGGGCTGAGAACCTGCAAGCTCGGTCCGGGATTTTGCTACTTTTCCTTCCTCCCACGCACTAGGCAGCACGGGCACTCTTGCAGCACTTCCGGTCAGCGTCCAGCAGCCCTGGCAGCACGGGATGCTGCATTATTGTGGGCTGATCCCCACTGCTTCTGGCAGAGGAGGTTGTGTCATTTCTCCTCTTCAAGAAGTGCTGTCAACGCTTGCTCTTAGCAAAATGTCTTAGCCTGTTTCAGGCTTCACGCTTACTGGGAAAGCCAGCTAAGACTTCCTATTTTCTGTGTACCCATACGTTCCTCAAAGCACTTGAATCAGCTAAAAGATTTCCCAAGTAAATCATGATTGCAACGAGTTCTGAAGATTTCATTCTTTTTTTTTTCCCCCTGATCTCATTAAATGATCATAAGAAAAAACTTGTTGGTGCAAATAACCATCCCCTCCTGAAATAAGGAGCGCTCTTCCATCATGCCAAGCTCTGACTCGAGATGTTTTCCAGCAGTTGAGGCATTTCTAAAGTGAACCAATAATAAAAACAGAGCCTTGCTGCCTTTCGGTTTAGATGCCCGCCCTTGTGGGCTGGCCTCACCTCAGCAATTTCAGTCTGATACGACAGCACTGAGCAAACAAGCTAACCTGAAATTGCTCTGGCTTTGAGGCTTTTTTTCGTGCCAAGCGCCGTGGCTCCCTTTAAGAGTTGCTGGCCCAGCAGCTGCGCTGGGGTAGCCCGGGGCCGCCGTGAAACCTTCTCTCTCCCAGTCTGGGGTCTTGGGCAGGAGGGACCTGGAGTTAATGGGGCTTCGTGCCTTTGTCGCAGCTCAGTCGCATCCAGCGTCAAAGGGAAGGTGCAAGAGGAGAAATCTCCTCCCTTATCTCTAACAGGCAGCAAGGCACAAGGCAGCCGCAGTCTCGGTCTGATCCTGCGCTCGGAGCGGAGGGAGGAGGTGCAAACGGGACACCTCGAGCCAGGCAGAGCGCCATAGTACAGACAAAATGCTAAATGCCCAAGGAGCGCTGTGGTGAATGTGGCAGTCCTCTGCTCAGAGGCCCCCAGGCCATGGGAAGGGGTTGGGCAGTCGTGGCGGTAGCTCCAGGTGCCTGGACCCTACCCTGCTCCCTCCGTGAAGCCGGCGGGAGGTTCATCTCTAACCCCGTTCCCATCTCTGCCACCCGTTAACCTGCCTTACACCCAGTGTTGCTAAAGGGAACTGTGTTTTCTTCAAGGTTTATGACCTGGGCTGTCTCCTGGAGGTAGGTGCCTTGGCCCAGGAAAGTGGTGCAGGAGAGCTGGAGGAGCAGAGCTCCCAATGGGAGCAGTACTCCCAATGTCCCTCCGTGTGAGCAGGGAGCAATGCCAAAGCCCTCCTTGACCATGCGGTGCATTGAGAGGGACTCGCGGTGACATGTGTGAGACAGGGAGGACATGACAGCAGCTTTCCTGAGCACATGAGGCAAGATCCCTTCAGGAGAGCTGATGACTGTAAGCTAAAGTGACACAAGTATGGCTTTACTTGAGGTTACTGCACTTGATTTTTATGGGATGTTTTCTGCTGCTGAAGGGACTGGTAAAGTTTACTTTCGTGCTTTTGGAGGAGGTCTGGTCTGATTGGACTCGCACTGCAAAGACCGTGTGCATGAGAAGGGCCGACAGCCTCCCTGCACCTGGTTTCTTCAGCATCATCCCGACCATATAATGACGCATCGAAGACCCTTGTTCCCAGCTCTACCAGCTGTCAGGAATATTGCTCGCTGACAGTCAAGTCATCAGACAGTCACCTACCTCATGGAAAACCCTGCCAGATAGGGAGACATCATGTCATATCCCCTAGCCTTTCCTGTCCAGCAGCCTTGCGTCTCGACAGATGCACGTCATGCCCTCCAGCCTCTGGTGTCACGGTAGGCAAATGAGTCTCTTCCAGCCGTATGTGATAAAAATAATCAGCAGCATGTGAGACGCTGCTTTTCAGTTGACTTTAAAAAAAGAAAAACATCCTGCAGGGAATGGGAGGGGGGGTTGTTGTCTAGCAATTTGTTTAGGAAATACCACTTGCACATCCTGTCTCGGATGTGAGACTGTGAGCTGGCTGACAGTGCCGGCTGGGTTTTCGCCCGAGTGACTGCAGCCTGACTGTGACGATGCTGCACTTGTCGGTCTGGCAGGTGCCTGCTGGCCCGTGCTTGAAGGAAAGCGCTCTGGGGTGGGAAGCCCGGTGGTTCGCTTCGCCGGGTTGGTTGGCTTTGTTTTTTCGGCATCAGGTGCTTGTGGGTGAGTCAGGCTCCTTCAGGTAGAAATGCCTGGGCGCAGTTAGGAGATTTTGCTCCCCTGCCCTGCAGGGAGGAGCTGGAGGGGATGTCTTTGGATGTCTTCGCAAGGCTGACGAGACTTAGTTTTGTGATATATTTCCACTTGGGGCTGTTAAAAAAAAAATATATATATATCACCCTGCAGCCCCTGCGGTAGCACTCTGGACTCGTTCACTGGTGCCCTCCGAAGTGACGTTCCTCAAAGCCTCCACTGGTGGCTAACTGGGAAGGGACAGGGACTTGCTTCACTCTGATTTTTTTTTTCTCCCCATCTGCTGAAAACCAGAGCCTTGGGCAAGGAAGCTTTCAGCGCTCCGCACGCCTGGGGTGCTGCTGCCTGCCTGTGATGCTGGGGAGAAGCAGCCACCAAGTCCTGCGAAAGCCTATAGTGGTGCACAGGGCAGCCAGCGACAATCTCAGGCTCTCCTCTCCCCCAACACATCCTTGGAGCCCAACTTTAGGGAGAAAGAATAACCTCCACAGTATCCCTTTGCTAGTCCCTCTTGGTAAGTAGTATAATTTCTCCCCTGCCAAAACTCCAGCTTCTCAACTCTGTGGAGAGAGCCAAAATCTAACCTTGGCAAAACTCTCTCTATTCCTTTTTGCCTACATTTGAGACAAAAATTTTTAACATAAATGTGCATCCTTCATCAATGCCCAAAGATTCTCTTCCTCAAAATTGCAACACCTCTGGTAAAGCTAACAGTGCCCCAACACCACTGAACTATTCTGGAGGCGGTAGCTACTAGAAAATATGAAAACAGGCCAATTGGTTTCCTGTTTTGAATTTCAGGGATATAGGTTAAGTCTCGTTCCTCTTAGAAACAGAGGTAAAACCCTAATCTCCCCGTGCAAGTCTACTGGCAGTTTCCTTATGTCTTAATGTTTGACTTCAAACTTCTAAGTATTTGGAAGGAATTGGTATAATGTGATCACTCATTCAGACTCCTCAAAAAACAGAGCTATAAAAACACTGACTCATTTTCTTTGCTAACATCATATTTATTATCTCAACAAGAATTCAAGACATACATGCGTGCAGCATACACTGAAACATCTGGCCTGTATCCAAAACAGACCTTAAGAAAAACAAGCTCATGTTGATACAATCATATAGCAGATCATTTGGAGAGGTAACACAAGGGCTCAGTGCCTAGGGAAGACATCATTAAGCTCTTGCTCATACACTGGCATTGGTCATTTGGATCTAGGTCTTTTTCCTGAGCTCACGGTGTGTACTAGCACTCTTGACAACCCTTAGAGAAACATAAAAACATTTCATGAAAAATATGTAGTCCTTACAGATCTAGACAAAAAAAAATACTGCAACGCAACTCTAATATCTCGAGGAAAATGCATCCCCCTAAGTTTCATAACATTCACACCTGCTACAGTCGGAAATAGTGGCTGAGCTCTGTGAGCCCCACACCAAGCTTCCTATTGCATTTTAAAGCAGCATACATTGAGCAGAACACTTTTATTTGAATACATTTCAGCTGCTAATGTGACCACTCATGCTGAATTTTCCTGAGAGTCCCAGTCAGGCCAATCACTCTTTAGCTTCCTGAAGGCTCGATAAGGACTTCGGGACTCCACCAAGCCCAGGAGATGCACTGGGAGCCTTTTGATTGAGTTCAGGACTGCCTTTAACCAACAACTCTGCTAAATCACACGCGGAGATAGCCTGGAAGCTGGTGTTTAGCCTAACAGAAACTCTTTGCATTTATTTTGTAATACCTGAAAAACTGACTTCTACACATGTCAGCAAAACATGTTACTTTGCAGTGCTAATATGAATAATAATTATTCTTGGAACACTATGTTCTCACTGAAGAAGTATTAGCTGGCTTAGAGGAGAAAGGAACCGGCCTCCGGTTCAAGCCAAGGGCAAGGCTCCCAGTAGTGTCACTGCAACTGGGTTAAGCCCTATACACAGAAAGGAGACAAAGTCAGTCACTTTCTGCTAAGCAAAATCAGTGTCAACAAACGACAGTCCTACTAGTCAGTTGTGATGGAGTTTAAAGCGCTATGTAATGACAATTTTGCAAAGGCAGGTTCAGAAGAACTAACTGAAAAATTCGTTATAAATGTAAACGAGAATTCACTGGGCGGGAAAGAATATAACTTGAACTGACCCAGAATTCAAAAGGCACAAATACACACCTCTATAAAATGCGAATGTGTTTATATACCAAAGCAGAGAGGAGTAAGAGAAGCAAAAATGTGACTTCAAATTACTTTTCCTGCTACATATCCTGGAAGAGGTGGTTATTTTGCACATGTCAACATACTGGCTTAAAGGCAATTGCAAAGCACGTTCAGCTATTGCTGTTTTCTTGCTAGCTTGCACCTCTGAAAAATACTGTTGAAGGTCATGTCTGACATTACTGACTAGAAGCGTTGCTCTTGGCCTTGCTGCGACTCAGCACGCTTGCTGCAGCTCCCTCAAAGCCAGCCAAATGCAACTGTTCAGTGAGACAGGCATAATGCACCCCCATCCTCTGGATGAATTACAGCAGCTTCTTCATTCCAGAACTGAAATGAAGTTGCCATGAAATGAAATGGAAACAAAGTATAAGGGAAGGGCCTTCACCTAAAAGTATCATAGTACATTTAGAAATCCAAGGTTACTTTCTTGTACTAACTGTAACATTCAATTTTATCAACATTATATCTTTAAAGAGAGGTAGTTGCTTTCTTTGAAAAAATAATGTTCTCAAGAAAAACCTCAGATTCAACTTTAACATCAGCTTCTGTTGATAAGAGTTATTATTATTTATAAAAATACACAGCAGTATTGTATTGTTCTAAAGAAATTCTTTTTAATATTGAAAGAATCCTTTCACCAAATGCACACACCTTAACAGCTGTATTTCTCTGTGTAATATATACTTTTATATATATATATATCTCTTTTCATATTTAATGATAGACTAAAGTATGCTCCCTTCAGTAATGCATCAAATATTTCTTTTATTATCAGAAAGCATTATGCTTCCTTTCAGTTAATAGGATGTATTATTGTTGTGATTTGAACAGTTCTTTTTACTACTTTTTGAGCCTAAACCCGTAATATACAATTAATAGTTCCATGAAATACTCATCTCATACAAGTAGGGTGTATATATATATATATAATATATATATAATATATATGTAAATATACACACACATATATATAATATAATATAGACTAGAATTATGCAGCATCTTGTTAATTCACAGAATTGTAATTATTAGTCAGTGAAGCATATCCTAGAACAAATAACCTTTCAATAAAAATAGTTTTAAATTAACAAGTGAAAAAAATCCCAACACCAGATCTCTGTCCAGCAGAATCTACGCTTTAGAAAACAAGAGCAGTTAGAAACGAGGCAGCTGGCTTTTGCCCTGGGTTATGCAATCCTATCTTGAAGGAAGGAGCCTGACGGGTTTGGCTCGTTCCCGGAGGAGCTCCGGGCTCCTGGGTGAGGCGTAGCTGCGGGACTCGCGGCCTGGCAGCAGCTCAGGTTTCCGACAGCAGGAAGGCGCCTCAGACCGGACGGACTCCTGTCCCACAGCTCTCCACCGCGTGGTCAGGAGCTCTGCACATCATTATCTTGTTTTCCACTTGGCATTCCCATGCTGGTATAGTTGTAGTATCCAAAGAAATCACGTTTTGACAGCTTTTCTTCAGTGGCGACAGGCAGCGAAATACAATATAAAGAGATTTCTCCATCTCCCCGATGTAAGTGAAGTCTCTCGTTCCAAATGCATAAGCCCAGGTTTTTCCATGTTTTCCCATGCACCGTTGCGGAGCGAGCTCACGTCTCCGGGCAGAACAGTTTTGTGATGAGGTTGAGGATCTTCTGCCGCAGGTTCCACTTGTCCCCGATGCGGCGCAGCTGCATGGCGCACTCAGCCACCGCTTCCTGCTCTGTAACACACACAGAAACGATCCCCCAGTGGCAGTGCATCCCGGCAGCAACTCCTGCCCCGCGCCCACACGGAAATCCAGCAAACTTCTTTTAATTATTTCTTATTCTAGAGGAGATCGTTTCTGCTTTTAGTTTTTTACAAGGGCTGGTAAGCCCAGCAAAAATCTTTAAAAAAAAGAGAAAAAATCTAGAGGAGATATTTTCTGGTTGGAATTTTTGACAACTTTCAAAATTGTTTCCTAACAATTTTTCAGCGCTAAACCTCATCCCTTCAGCCACCCCCCCCGATATCCCCCCCCTCCCCAATCTGAGCAA